GGAACCATGGAGGAGAAATCCACATGGATCTGCTAAAATCTAGGGAAGATTTTCGTGGTTTTTGGCCTTGGTTGGCCGGCAAATTGAGGGGTAGTAATGGAATGACATTTTTGTCCCCTATTAATGTTTGAATTTACAAGTCAACTAAATTGACTAATGGTCAATTAGAAGGAATCCATTTATTTGGAGTCACATATTTTCCGAAGGTTGGGACCCTTTTTCATCTAGAAAAATTGATTGGGGAAGAATGTGCAAATGACCCTAAAGGTTGGGGACATTTGGCATAATTTACCCTTTATTTTTTTATCTATTTTTTTCCTAAATCATTTTCAACCACATTCTAGGTACCAACAATTTTCCCCCACTTTTCAATCGCATTGTGTGTAAATGATGTATTTTTGTTGCTACACTAGTGATCAATCACTCCATTGGAAACGTTATAGAAAATCCTATGTTGCTATGTTAAATGTTAATGTGGACATAAACGTCTTTAAAAGTTTGGGAGTAATAAATTGGAAAGTTAGTAATAACTTTTAGATGTTGAAAGTATTATGAATACGACTCTAAATTTAAAATTGTTAGTTCGATTAAATTCTATAAAATTTTTGTTTGTATCTGAAGTGACGTATCAGTTAACATTGCTTGTGTCCATGTTAACATTTAACGTCATTGAGGATGTTTGGTTAACATTTAAACTGATTTTTTTGAAGATGTTTTAAATTGAAAGTAGATAAGAGCGAAAAGTGAATTCTTCATATCTTGAAGTAAGGAAAACGAAAAATAGGCAAGTGTTTATACTTGGTTGGACTCCCACATCTTTCTTTTCATGATCAAAGTAGATTGTATTAATGTTAAGAATGTATTATCAACTTACTATGTGACTTCACTTTGTAATTGATTCCAAAAAGTTGTAATTCGACTAATGATAGAATCGTCATATTTAAATTCAAAAAAGACTTTTCAAATTATCTAGAACTCAAAAGTGAAATGTTTTGTACATTTT